GCCCACCGCCGGCGCGCCGCCCCCGCTGCCCCGAGCCACGAGCTGTCCCTCCCAGTGCTACACGGCCCCACCTCTTACGTGGTACCAGTAACAGAGCAACACTTCTTATTCTTTATAAATTCTTTCCACCAATTAAAATATCTACTTTAGTGGCAACGGTATTAGCCCCTCTGCTGAAGCCACCAAACGCTGCCCGCTCCGCAGCGGGGCTCTCTGCAGCTGGAGAAGGCAGGCTTTTGCTGAAAGCCTAGAAGCAAAATTACTTCTCTTTTACTGGGAACAACTGCAAGGAGGCAACAAGGACAACCTCAAAGAGCTTTGCAGCAGAGGTCACGTGCTAAAGATGTAGCTGCTATCTATGCTGAAAGGCAAAAATCACAACCTACGTACCAGGAGGAAAAAAATCCCTGCAGGAGAGCCCTGCCAGCCCTGCAGATGAAACCCTGCCAAGAAGAGAGTGCTTTTCGCCACCTCAAATGACACCGCTTTGAGGAGGCGTCGTAGCTACGTCCACCACCGATCTCCTGCCAGTGTACGTGGCGTTTGAAGCTCTGCCCGCACAGCCCCACCTCGGCCAACAGACGTTCTCTCTACCACGTCCCAAGCAGACGTGCTCTCCTTTCTGCCACAGGCCCTTTCTCCTGAAATAATGCTGCACGGGGGGCAAGGTAAACCTGGGCAGAACAAGAGCAAAGCCCGCAGCAGGTAAGGGTGAGGAGAAGCGTCTCGGTGAGCCCCACAGCTGGAGGTCCCTGCCTGCTCTCCTGGAAGGTCCTTCTCTGCTGAAGCCCACCATGGCAGCGAACATGCCCACGCTGGCTAAGGTGAACCTGCGTACAGAACACGGTCATGGACTGTAGAGACCTTCCTGCTTTGCTAAGAAAAAACCTTGTTAGGGAGAAATACACAGGGGCATGAAGGATTTGCTTGATAAATTGTGACACTGCCAAAATACTCCTCTTTGTTAGGACAACTCAACCTCTGAGTATCTTAACAGCCTCAACAGCGTTAATGAAAAAATCCACAGCCAGATCCAGGACACTGTTTCTGTCTTCCCTTCCAAGTCTCCATGTTCTTCTCAGCATTAACTGCAGTAGTGTCGCGTCATTTTCCACCTTCATATGCAACCCCAGACGTTCTGTCCTCTCCATTTGAGTCGGGAAATTTATTTTTACACACTACCTGGCAGCACACTAGAATTCTCTTACAAAAAAATCCCTGCTCCGAGCGCGGTGACTACAAGCTATCGTGATGAATAACAGCAGAAAAAGCCTCGCTTACCTACTGCTCAGTGCAAATTCGGGATACAGTCTAATAAGATGCACAAGTCAACTGACCTGTGAGCTGTCAGGAAGCCTGAACCACAGACTGTACCACGCGTACAGCGATAAAATCAGCTAGGTGCCACAGCAACAGATATTCCACCTTAAAACAATTTTTATTGTTATGCATCGTTTTAAAGATGAAAACCCCAAAGCTCGGATTAAAACATCGCACAGGTCTTGTCTGTACCCCAAATGATCCACAAAATCACAGAAAGACTGGCTGGGAGAGACCTCGAAGGTCGTGTAGCCCAGCCTCCCAGGGGACGCAGGATGACTGCCGAGAGCAGCTCAGGCCAGCGGTGACTTGCTCAGCCAGGCACCACGCATCTCCACGGATGGACGGTCGCACAGCCTCTCCGGGTAACCCGTGCCGCCCTCTCACCGCTCGCCTGGTGAAGCGATGAATGGAGAGTGAAGTGAAACGAGGTTTTTAGTGCAATGAAGCCATTATTCAAAAAAATGACAGGAAAATGAGAGAAGGAAGAATAACGCAATCCACCCCCTCCAAGAAGCAAACACAAGCTGAAAGACGTTCCCATAGTACAAGGACGTGTCAAGTAAAACACTGAGGCAACGCAATGATGAAACAGAGAAGTCACAAAATTCATGTGCTCTAATGAGCCCAGAAAGAAATTGACTTTCTATACCAATATGAAAAATGACACTGGCTGCCAGCGTGAGCCCTTTACGTGATGTATCTCTTAGCAAGAGATTACTCACACGAAGCAGAGCAATTACATTTGTCACACAGGATCTTGAGGATCTTCCTGATACCAATTTTACTTAAATTTCTGTAAATCTAGGCTTTGTGGGGCCATCTCCTGAAAGGCCCTCTTGGGTTGAACAGAGCTAGACTTGTGGCACTCCTGGGCTTTTAAGGACCGTTAACAGTATCTTTGCTCTTCAACCACTCCCGATACGTTTCGAGGAATCAGTACGATGCAGATGATGCAAGCCAGATGACTAAAGGTTATTTAACGTCGCTAAAACTCCTTCTGCGGTCTTTCCACAGAAGGAGGTTGCATCAACACAAGCTGAGGTTTACAGAGCTGTCGCCTTCCACCATGCGAGTAGGAACACGGCCCTGGAGTCGCACAAGCTAATGGCTCCGGGACACCGCATCTGGCATCTGTCGATGAAGCCTCCATTTTTCCTTTTCTTTTTCAAAAGTGTAAAATAGCACAAATTAGGCCTGCGATTGTTGTGATGGAATTTACTCTCAAGTGAAGAAGCGCCAGATTTTCAGTGCTTACGTTACAGGCAGTGACACTTGCTGAGGCTCTTTCTGGAGGCTTGGGGGGGTGTATCTGGCACCATCAATGAGCTGAGATTCCTATCTTGCTGTTCACAGTGAAAGCTTGAGGGGTGGTGTTAGACAGATTACCGGAAATTATTATCAACTCTTCCTTGCAGTTGATCAAGATCTCAGCTTCTCTTTAGGATGTGTCTTCGAACCAGAGCAAGGAGTACATCCACTACTTCATCTGCCTGTTACAATCTCCCATCCGGACAAAATATATCAATGTAAGCCATCCAGCATCTTCAAGCATCAGCTCAACTACTCGCTTTTGGGCTTAGGCTCACCTAAAGTGTAGTCAGGCTATGTTTGTAGCATTGACTGTCAATTGATTCTAGCTGTATGAGGAGGACTTCCAATCCTCCAAGCTGCTATACGTTTGTTTTGATATGGGGTAATAATGAATTTGCCACACAAAATTCAAGTGTCAGATAACACCACTAGAAATTAGTCCTAATGCAGGAATAGCACACAAGTACTGTAAAACTTTGTTTGAAGGCTGCTACAAAGGTTGGTGGTAATTCCCAACAGTTTCAGCTGTTCCCTTCCCTATTTTCTGGTTGGAAACAGATCCGGCAGCCATCTTACAG